CAATATAGTGCTCTATAAAGACATCATCGTTATGGCTAATTCAGGTACGCTTTCGCATTCAATTTACAACATGTTTATCAGTATGAGATTACGTTTATGTTTGATCGTTAGAATCAAAATCAGGATTATTATTACAATTATTGTTTTTCCAACAAGTTCACCTAAAAATGATCCTTATATTTTTGAAATGATTGAAATAGGTCCCTATTTTAAACGGCGTTAAGTATATGTTGATCTGTCTAATGACTCATTCATTATTTGACACGTGTAATTATTTAAAATTAAATAAAATTAAAAGATGTCAAGCTTTTAAAAGTCATTTGTATCCGCATTTATAACATTTAAAAGTCATTTAAAAAGAAATTTAAATTTATCTGTCATTTATAAGTCATTTAAACTTCTCAACCTTAATTTTCAGAAATGAAAACCCTTGCTATGGTATATCATTGTCGCACACTGCCGTTATGCACTACCATCACACTCTCAGTCGAACTACAACAAACCGATAGAACTTTTGAACTTCAAAGTCACTTTGACTTCATACAACCTTTATGGAGAAAGGGGAAGAAAGAAATACATTTGGTGTGTGACGAAAAAAGAAGAGATAACGAAAAGTAACTGTGATGAGAAAAGAAGAGAGAATGAAAAGTGATTGTGATGAGAACTGAAGAGCTTTGGTGCGTGAGAAGAAAAGAAAAACTTTTATTTTTTAATTTTGTTTTTTGTTTTTTTTTAAATAATAATAATATCTGTTGAATAATTTTTATTTTTTAGGAAGAACTTTGTTTTTTTTTTAATAATTACACGTGTCAAATAATGAATAGGTTACACTATCTCAGTCATACTATCTCTGTTAGACAGGTCACCATATATTTAACGCTGTTTAAAATAGAGACTTATTCCAATCATTTCAAAAATATAGAGATTATTTTTATATAAACTTAAAAAAAAAACTATTTCTAATTTCACATAAAAAATACAAAATACAAGTATTAAAAACATATTTAACCCCGTTATCTCTCTTCGTCCACGTCAACTTCAAAAATTTAGTAAAAACTTTTACATTTCAATGAAAATGAACTCGTAACAACAAAGAATATTATTAACTAAAGAGAACACTAACTCAAATAAATGAGTTGAACAAACGCAGATATTAGTTTTAGAAAAGAAACGAAAAAAAGAAGAAGAAAAGAAAAGAAAGAAAACCACTACTTTGTACTTTGATTTCAAATATTTTATCAATAATTTAAGTCTATATAAACTTATATTGTACTTTAAAACAGAGAAAAATCACTATTGTTCTGGAAAAAATTTCTTAAAACAACTCCTTTTCAAGTCAATATTATTTCTGATACCTTTTTCTTTTTATTCTTGTTCTTCTTATACGTGTTTTTTCTATTCAAACTAGATAAATAATTTTTTGGGATATAATTATTTATTCTCCTATCTCTCCCAGGATTATTTAGATTCCCTCAATCAATGCATATATGTTTCTCATCACTTTCTTTACGATTTTAAAACATTGAGAATTTATTATTAAGATTCATCATAATCAAACTCCTTAATGAATGATGTTTTTGACAGCTAACCAGGATGATACAAATGTCTGCCTCAACATCTAAGAACGAGATTTGAACTCCGATTTTATATTAGAAGGAAATCGATCCAAATATCTTAATTAACTGAATAAACTTCTACTCGACCTTTAATAATAATAATAATAATAATAATAATAATAATAATAATAATAATAATAATAATAATAATAATAATAATAATAATAATAATAATAATAATAATAAAAACTGAATAAAACCGAAATTTATAATCGACGAGTGCAGGGTGCCACGTCGGTTATCAACGAAGTGACGATGTCGTCGATGTTGTTTCAATGCTTGGCCACTCGACCATGTGCAAGCTTCTTCTGCAAGCATCCGTGTCGGAATTCTGGGAGTTACAATTAATTATTATTATGTAATTAATAGGCCATTGGCACTGGTGGTGAGTAACCATAGTTTTTGTTCAAAATCACAGTACAAGATCTTAATTATACTGTATAATAATATATCCTCTATTAACTTGGAGTGCAGTAAAAAATGATATATTATATTCCCAACTTAGATTATGCATGCATGTGTGAAAATCTGAATTAATGTTAAAGAAAGCACAAGAGAAATTGGCAGTGAGAAACAAACCTTGGTCAGCCTGGTGTTTAGAAGCAGCCACCAAGGACTTGAATCCAAGTGTCCAGTGGCACAAATTGTTTAATATTTGTTAGACTTTTGGACTAGGTCATGCCATGTTTTCCCGTTCACGTGGTCGACTCCGCTTAACCAAGCTTAACTGCTGAAACCATGTCTTCAATATTGCTTCAACCGATCCTTTTAGCTTTGTTGACAAGCTTTTAACCTTACTTTCTTCATTGGTTTTCGTTCACTTGGCCCAATTCACCTAATTAATCTTCATTCTCTCTCTCTCTCTCTGCATTATCTGTTAAAATACTCGGTTGCTGATCAACTGAGCAAAACGTCAAGGAGTTCAAAGACTCAACCAGTTAACTTATTTGAGAAGGAAGAAACACGATCCGTTCATTGGGGGGAAGCAAAGTGATGTAAGTAAAAGACTGGCGAGTTCAAAGGAACAACAGCATCCTGTACTTTGCTCAATGTTGATGAAGAAAAGGTAAAAACAAACATATGTTGATAGGCGCCACTTATCAATCAGTAAAGTGTTTTATTCACTCAAAATAGTCAAATTTCCTTTTAGCCCTTAATCATTGTACACCAACTTAATGGCATAGGTAGGGGGCAGAATCTTTTCACAAAGTTTGAGATCACCTTCAAATGTCTTCAATTAAAAAAATCAAGGAATGTGACGACGATCAATAAATTTCCCTCCAAATTATGTATTTGCAAACTCTTTTTCATTCCCTTTTACTTTTTATTATTATTATTTTTCTACTAGTTTGGAGTTGGTTAATGAGTAATCACAAGCATATATATATATATATATATATATATATATATATATATATATATATATATATATATATATATATATATATATATATATATATATATACTATATATAAACACACGTTACTGTCATAGTTTAGTGGATATAATGGGTGCTTGTTTTAGTTAACATGCACTCACAAAATTCCTAATTAACGGTTGTTTGGTGCATCTTAGATCATCTATCGAGCGTCCATAGTCTAATCTTGAAGCAATTATTTTGGTGATCTACCATGGCCCCAAGCTTCTCCTTTCTAGTAGCTCCTACCATCTTTTTTCTATACGAGAATATGTATTAAAGAAAAGCAAAATGTATATGCTTTTAAGTACCCTTTTAACCTTTTATCCTTAGCAAAGAATAAAAGGGTTGATCTTAATGAAAAGGAATTAAAGGAGCTTTTACTATTAATAGGGCCAGAAAGTAAAAGTCACACAAACTTTAGTCTGGATCATGTTTGCCAAGTGAATTTTCCACCATATAAAGCAGGTACAAGACCTTTTGAATCTTGGGTTTGATCAATTTTTAAAAGGGTGATTAAGTGTTTACTCTGTTACCTTTTTGGATTTTTAAATAAGAGGTCAGTAAAGCTGCCAACAAATGTTTAAAAATGGTGGAGGCAAGCTAATAAAGAACATTACAGTTTTGGTGATAATGTGTTCCCATGTGTAATCTGAAACCTTATGATCGATGTTTAGTTCCTTAAGCCTGAAACGAATAAGCTGTTGTGTACTAGGCTGCAAGACCAAAAATTGTCACCTAAAATTCAGATTTGTGCTACCTTGCACTTGCAAATAATCTAATCGCGAATCTACAGTATCTGCCATTGTTTCATAAAAGATGTATACAGACAGAAATGAGGGTCCTTTTGATTTTTTGTCCACCGTCAAAATAAGGATGCCTTTTCCTCAGACTTTTGTACTATAGAATATTATTATTATTTTATTTTGATTAAGTTGTACCGTAGAATCATTTATGAGCAATCTTCATCAAGGTTATGGATTATGGTTCATCGACAACTAAAAGGAAAAAACAAGACCGTTCCCACTGTGATTTGATATGGTACTATGTATTTATTGTCCCCCTAGCTAATTTATGGGGCCATACCATATCTTCTCCTTCTCGCGGTAATGAAATTCAATGCGGAATGGTCCTTCATATCATACATACCATGACACACACCTATTATTCGTGAGCGCCAGTCAAATTTCAAATTGGGATCAAAATTTTCCTTTTCTCACTTGAATTAATTAATCTAACAGTGACGACCACGACGTTGCGACGGGGTAGTAGAATTATGTTTTGGGACCTTCAATAATAGCATGAAGCATAGTTATATATGTTCTTCCGATACATAAATGATTAGATTGAAGAAAGGTACTGTTGTTATTTCTGTTTCTCTTTTTAAGAACATTTTCCATTGGTTCTCACTCTGATTTCCCATAGAATATTATTGTTTTCATTTCTCTCATTCCTTTACTGAAATAACAATAAAGAAGAAAAAACAAATGACAGCTTGTCCATTTAGCTAGAATAAAGTAGCCATTTTTTTTATTGGTAAAGCTTTTAATTAAGAGTAATATTTAATAAGAAATGGACCAAGACATAATTATATTGACACAGGGATTCGATCATTGGGGGACTTGTGAAGTCAATCGGCCAACTCCACCTGCGTGTCTAGAAGTAGTAGAAAAAGATGCGATACACACGCATCACTTTACAGGTAGAGAGAGTACTAGGAAGAGAGAGAGAAGAGAAGTAAATAAGCAATTAACTATTTCGAGTTCAACCATAAATCATAGCAGTGTAGCTGCACAGAGAGCATATTTGTAAGAGGTTCAGTTTTTGGTGAGCTGTTAATGTCCTTCAACCATTATTTTATATGCCATCTATCCACGTGGCCTTCTGCCCCATCGCAATAAATCCCCGTTACCCCTTTCCCTCCTTCTTCTCCCTCCGTTAGCAATGTGGGATTACTGTGTAACATCATGAGTCTCTTCTCTCAAGCTCTCACTATTTCACTGCTTCTTCTCGTCACTGTTCACCACTGTTGTGGCCTTAGTAGAGACGGCGTTCTGTTGCTTTCTTTCAAGTACGCTGTGTTGAACGACCCACTTTACGTCCTCGCAAACTGGAACTACAGTGACGAGACACCATGTTCGTGGAACGGCGTTTCTTGTTCCACCGTAGCAGCAACAAACGATTCCGAGTACCGCGTCACATCATTGTCACTTCCCAATTCTCAGCTTTTAGGTTCAATTCCCTCCGATCTGGGTTCCATTCAGCACCTTCAAGTTCTAGACCTTTCCAACAATTCCCTCAACGGTTCTCTTCCTTCTTCGCTCTCCCAAGCCTCTGAGCTTCAGTTCCTCAACCTGTCTAACAATTTAATATCAGGGGAGGTTCCCGAGTCCATAGCGCAGCTTCGGAATCTCCACTTCCTTAACCTCTCCGACAATGCTTTCGCTGGAAAATTGCCTCACGATTTCTCCAACATGCACAACCTAACTCTGGCTTCTTTCAAGAACAATTACTTGTTCGGCTTTCTTCCCAGCGGGTTAACAACGTTGCAGGTTTTGGATCTGTCTTCAAACCTGTTCAACGGGACTCTTCCCGTGGATTTTGGCGGAGACGCCATGCGTTACTTAAACATCTCCCACAACAGATTTTTCGGCCAAATTCCAACGGAGTTCGCGGCAAACATTCCGGGGAACGCCACCGTTGATCTCTCGTTCAACAACCTCACCGGCCAAGTTCCCGACTCCGCCGTGTTTTTGAATCAGAATTGGAAATCTTTCTCTGGTAACGTTAACCTGTGTGGAGAACAGACCAAGAATGTTTGTCCTGTTCCTTCTTCATCGTCCTCTAAACCGAAAGTGTCTGCTCCTATATCTCCTCCTGCAATCGCGGCAATCCCAAAGACGTTTGATTCTTCGGCGGCGCCGAAGGGGCAAAAAGAGAGTGGTCTGAAACGAGGAACGATTATAGGAATCGTGGTGGGAGACGTGGTTGGGATAGGGATCATAGCCATGATATTCATTCAGGTGTACCGGTCGAAGAAAAAAAAGGAGATGGAGGGTGGTGTGAAGAACGAAGCGGTTACGAGGAGTGGGAGCGAGAGTTCATCGGAGTCGAGAGGGTTTATGAGGTGGTCGTGCTTGAGGAAAAGAGCGGAAGAGGAAGAGTGTTCGGAGACAGGAAGCAGTTCTGATAGTGATGTGGAGGGTGCGAAACACGAGGGGCAGACCCATAAGGGTCAGCAACAGGATGACAAAACGGGGACCCTTGTGACTGTGGATGGTGAACGACAGCTAGAACTGGAAACGCTGCTGAAGGCTTCTGTATACATATTGGGTGCCACGGGGTCAAGCATAATGTACAAGGCTGTCCTGGAAGACGGCATGTCGTTGGCGGTTCGGAGAATCGGGGAGAGCGGCGTGGAGCGGTTCAAGGACTTCCAGAACCAGGTTCGACTTATTGCTAAACTGGTGCACCCTAATCTGGTTCGCGTTCGTGGCTTCTATTGGGGACACGACGAAAAGCTCATCATCTATGATTTCGTTCCAAACGGATCCCTTGCCAATGTTCGTTACAGTAAGTCATTTCCCTTCACTCATCTTCTCCTGCACGTTAGCCTACTCACTCGCCTCTCACTACAATGCGCCGGATATTATGTGAATGCAATGCAGTGCAGTGCAGTGCCATGTGTTGTTTCTGATAGCGATACACGTTCCCCTAATTGGAAACACCCAATATGTCCACTGTTTCTCTCTCGTCACTGCCGTTACAACTTTGCTATTTTACACTGAAATAATTGATTTGTGGGTTTTATATGTTTTTAATGTATTTGGTGCACCAACTTTGGTCAAAATGTTACTGTAATGATGATAAAGTAAAAAATTGTGTGCTTGGAATGTTATCAGGGAAGGTGGGCTCCTCGCCGAGTCACTTGCCGTGGGAAATCAGGCTGAAGATAGCGAAAGGGGTGGCACGTGGGCTGACTTACCTCCACGAGAAGAAACACGTGCATGGAAACTTGAAGCCTAGCAATATTCTACTTGGCAATGACATGGAGCCCAAGATTGGAGACTTCGGGCTTGAGAGGATAGTAACGGGTGACACCAGTTATAAGCCTGGTGGATCCGCGCGTATTTTCGGGAGTAAGAGATACACGGCCTCGAGGGACAGTTTCCAAGACATTACATACGGGCCTAGCCCTAGCCCAAGCCCGAGCCCGAGCTCGATTATGGGTTTCTCCCCTTACCATGCTCCTGAGTCGCTCAGGAACCTGAAGCCTCATCCGAAGTGGGACGTGTACTCTTTTGGGATCATTTTTCTTGAGCTGCTAACGGGGAAGATTGTGGTTTTGGATGATATGGGCCAAGGCCCTGGGGTTTTGATCGAGGATAAGAACCGGGCCTTGCGTATGGTGGATATGTCTATCCGGGCCGACATGGAGGGTAGAGAGGAGGCCATGTTGGCCTATTTCAAACTAGGGTATAGTTGTGTGTCTAGCGTTCCACTGAAAAGGCCTCCAATGAAAGAGGTGCTACAAGCTCTTGAAAAAATCTCCTCCTCTTCTTCCTCCTCCTATTATTATAGCGTCTAAATCATGATTTACCACACATTGGCTTTGTAGAAAGAAAAAAAAAAAAAAAAACAGTGTACTTATCATTGACTAATAGGTTTTTTAATATGATTCAATGTTGTGTGTCGATTCATTTGCTAATTTTCAAGGAATAGATTCCTTGATTTCTTTTTCTACTACTTTTAATAAAGAAATTCCACCTATCAACCAAATTCTTTATATTCAATTAAAATCAGTTTATAAAATAACGTGTACCAGATGATGATGCATCATGATTCTTTCCATTCATGGGTTGCATTTACTCGATATTTAGAAATGGAGTTTGGACCATCATCATATGAGTGTTCACAATCACACTTGTTCCAACAAAGTTGTATATCTTCCGAGCTTTATTAGACTATTTTGTGGGAGGTTTGAAACCTGATATTAGAAGATATGTCATTGCTCAATCACCACTAACCCTGATTAGATCTGTCTCATTGGTCAAGTTATATAAGGAGAAGTATGTTGTCAAATCCAAATAATACCCTAATTTTTCATCTTCCCAAACTCAAGCTACAAACACTACCTTACCTATCAGTCATACCATAAAATCCACTAGCCTACCACCTCTCCTACCTAGTCCTCCTTTCCACAACCTTGTGAAATACAAATGTAAAAAAAAAAAAAAAAAAACTACTACTGTAAAGATGCAACTAAGAAGAGAAAAAGGTCTATGTTATACATGTGATGACAAGTTTTCTCCTACTCATACATGTTCCAGCAAACAATATTTACTTCTCCAATGACAAGATGAGGATAATGGAGAATTACAACCTAATCCTCCAGAATGTGGAATTGCACCTGGAACAAGAACATCATTTGTAGTATAATGCATAAAAGGATCCTCTAGCTTTGGTACTCTAAAGTTTAAGTCTTCTATAAATGGCATGAAAGTGCATGTTTTATTGGATAGTGGTTCCAATGATAAGTTTTTCCAACAATGATTGACTTATTGTTTAAAGTTGTATATTAAGCTAATTCCCAATTTTCAAGTGTTGATAAGCAATGGTAGTGCATTAGTTACTGAAGGACGGGTCCGAGAATTGGTGTTGACCTGTCACATATTGAAATTACTTATGTATTTACTATCTGTCATTGGTGTTGCCCTGGTGTTGGGAGTTGTTTGGTTAACCATGACTGGGCCCCACATTTCTGACTATAATAGTAATTTTACACTTAAGTTTTAAATCAATTTGTCACCTTGCATGGTGACTAGCCATCCTTACCAGTGCAAGCTCAGTTCCATCAATTGCGAAGAATGCATCACACATTTGCTATAAAGGAGTCATTCACTAATTGAAGAATGCATCACACACTTGCTATAAAGGAGTCATTCACATTGCAGTTTTAGCAGCAAGATTGTTCTCTGGATCACAAGTTCATATTACCTACTAATATTGAATCAAAATTGGCAAAATTGTTGCATAAATACAGAGTGGTATTTTTCGTGCCTTCTGGATTACCTTTTACTCGGTCCCACAATCATTCTATTCCTTTGTTGCAAGTTTCGACAACGATGAAGGTTCACCCATACAAGTATCCTCATAGCCAAAAATAACAAATTGAGATTATGGTTCAAGAAATGTTAAATGCAGGAATTATTGTGCCTAGTAATAGTCTTTTTTCTTCTCCAATAATACTTGTCAAGAGGAAAGATGACACGTGGAGATTTTGCACTAATTATAGATCTTTGAATGCTATAACTATTAAAGATAGTTTCCGCATTCCAACTATAGATGAATTTATTGATGAGCTACATGGGGCAATATTTTTTTCAAAATTGGATCTTCGATCTGGATATCACCCGGAATTATTGAATGAAAATGATAGATTTAAGATACTTTTCAAATCCATCAAGGCCACTATGAATGGGTTGGGATGTTGTTTGGTCTCAGCAATTCACCGACCACATTTCAAAGCTTAATGAATGACATTTTTTAGGGTATTACGAGGAAATTTGTGCTTGTATTTTTTTATGAAATATTAGTATTCTATTGGGTAGAACACCTTGAAGTAGTGTTGCAAAAATTACAGCAGCATAAACTATTTGCCAAATTTTTTTAAGTGTTCTATTGGGTTGCAACAAGTTGATTATCTTGGTCATATTGTTTCAGCACTTGGAGTAGTAATGAATAAGGATAAGGTGCAGGATGCATTATAGTGGCCATGTCCAAAAAATTTAAAACAATTGCGAGGCTTCCTGGGTCTACTGGTTATAGGTTTATTCGAGATTATGCCGTGATTGCTGCCCCTTTAACCAATTTATTGAAGAAAGATAGTTTCAACTATATTAGCATTTGAGGCATTGAGAACATTAATTACTCAAGCACCTGTGTTAGCTTTACTCGACTTCTCTAAGCCATTTGTATTAGAAACCGATGCCTTAGGAATGGCCATAGATGTAGTCCTTAGTCAAGATTTTCATCTTATTGCTTTTTTCTCCAAGAAATTGGTTGTCACAATGCAAAAGCAATCAACATATGCTAGGGAATTTTATGCTATCCCAGAAGTCAGTGCAAAGTTTCGCCATTATTTACTAGGCCATAAATTTGTGATTCGAACATATCAAAAGAGTTTGAAAAGTTTAAATGCTCAAGCAATTCAAACACCAGAGCAATAAAAATGTTTGCCTAAGTTGTTAGGGTATGATTTCCATATCGAATATGTCGAGAAAGGATAATCTTGCAACTAATTCTTTATCTCGATCCTTTTACGTGGTTTGGTCTCAGCTTAAGTTTCATATTTTGCCACAGTTGTTTTGCAAGACATGACATTAAAAGCTTTGATCGATTCGTGCATGCTTAACAAACCTTTGGGCCCACATTATTCAGTGCATGATTAGTTGTTTTATTGGAAGGGTAGGTTGATTATTCCTACTGCACATGATTTGGTCAAACATATTTTACATAAGATCCATAGTTCTTTAATATGAGGACATGCAAGTTTTGGAAGAACTTTGGCACGAATAGCAGCTCAATTTTATTGAAAAAGAATGCACAAAGATATGAAGGAGTTTGTGCAAAATTGTTTAGTATGTCAGCAAGCAAAAGTGGTTAATACTTCTCTTGGTTTATTACAATCGCTTCCCATTCCATATTAGATTTGAGAGGATTTAGCAATGGACTTACTAGTCTTCCTAATTCTAATGGTTTTACTGTAATAATGGTAGTCATTGACAGACTATCAAAGTATGCTCATTTTTCCTCCTTGAAGTTTGATTATTCTAGTAAATTAGTAGTAGAAATTTTCATGAAAAATATGGTCAAGCTGCATGGCATGCCAAAGTCAATTGTGTCTAACAGGGATTAGGTCTTCACTAGTCAGTTTTGATATAAACTATTCAAATTGAGTGGTACTTCCTTGAATATGACCACTGCATATCACCCACAATCCGATGAGCAATCAAAATCCTTAAATAAGAGTTTGGAAAGGTATTTGAGATGTTTTATTATGATTCTCTTAAAGATTGGTCAAAGTTGTTATCTTAGACAGAGTACTAGTACAATACTTATTATCATCATAGTAATGGAACGACCCTATTTAAGATTGTTTATAGTAGAAATCCTCCAATATTGACTAAATACAAAATTGACAGTCATGATCTTGTTTTAGTGCAATAACTATTAGTGTAGAAGGATTTGACTCTTACTAGGTTGAAAATTAACTTGAATAATGTTCAATAGTACATGGAAAAATATGTTGACAAGAAGAGGAGATTATTTGAGTTTAACATTGGTGATATGATTTTGGTGATATTACAACCCTATAGGAAAACATTCAGTTGCTCTCCAAAAAAATCGAGAACTCAGTTTAAGGTACTTTGGTGGTCGTTTTCTTATAATCGAGTGAATTGAACATGTTGCTTACAAGCTATTTTTGCCTCAAGGAACCCAAATTCATCTAGTCTTTCACTATTCTCAGTTAAAGTTAAAGATGTGTAAGGAAGATCATTTAGAATCTTATATTCCTATTTATGCACAATTACATCTTGTCATTCAACCTGTTTCTATTTTGCAATCTTGGATGATATTGAGATGCCAACATCAGATTACACAATATTTAATTTAGTGTCAAGGCTTAAATGCATCTACTATCACCAAAAAAATCATGTTATTTTGCAACAAGTTTTTTCCGAATTTAACCTTAAAAACAAGGTTATTTTAATAAGAAAGAGCTATAACAACTACAGGTGACACTAGTAAAAAAAATTAAAAATTAATAAAAAAAGGAGTAGAAAAATCAATTTCTAATGCAATTCAGAAAAAAACACCTCACAATATATATTTATAATCATGGAAGCAGGAAAAAGAATTAAGATAACTAACTCTAAGATAACTAATTCTAAGTCGAAAGATTTTAATTGGTCCGTTTGTTATGACGAGAGAAAAAGGAACAATTGCTTTTCCTGAATTCTCTTGTTGAACCTATTCGTGATTGGATTATTCTCTCTCTCTCTCTCTCTCTCTCTCTCTCTCATATATATATATATATATATATATATATATATATATATATATATGTATTATGAGTTTTAATAAAGTTTAGTTCAAGACACGCAACTCAATTAAATAGTCGTATAAAATTTGAAGATCTTCAAACAATTCTTGGAAAGCGTATAAAAATGAAATGAATAAAATAAACTTAACTATTTATATTACAAAACAAATAAAAATGTATTTGAGAAACTTGTATGGAATAGTGATACTTCACAAATGCTTTCGATTGTTTTATTTGAAGTTACATTTATTTGGTAAATAAAAAATAGGAAGTCCAGTAAGAGCGTCTAAGGCTTTGGACGCCTAAGGAATCTGGCGGGACTAAAGCGGTTGAGATCAACAATGCAGGAATGTCCATCAACAACGAGCTCAGCAACAGCAGCTCCAGTGGCAGGACCATTGAGAATACCCCAACAATTGTGCCCTGTTGCAACGTAACACCCCTTCACCCCTGGAACCTCTCCTATCACCGGTACCCCATCATCGGTGCACGGCAAGATGCACGCTTGCTCTGCCTTCACATCTGCCTCTCCTTCCCCAAGATGGCTTGACACAGTCTTAGCCACCCTCTTAAGCATCGCAATCGATTCAGGGTTTCCCCTTATCTCCGCAGGATCCTCCGGCACCTCTTCCTCCTTCGACATCCCACACACATACACCTCCCCTGAAAACAATATCCAACAACTCTCACGTCCATTCAAAGCATATAAGTAAGGACTACACTTTGCAAATCAAACACAACTCAACATGCTGGCATTTACCTGTTGGGCGAGGGTACACTTCAGGGTCAAGAGCTTCTCCTCGCTTCGAGGAGTAATAACTGAGAAAGAGAGCATGCGGGGTTATGGAACTTCCTTCTCTGGGCTCCAAAACAATGCTATGGGCCTTAACCCCATAAACTCTAAACAGCGATGATAACAAAACCAACTTACTGGACCAAGGGCCCAGTGCCAACACCACAGCGTCCGCGTCCAACACCCGTCCTCCTTCCACCACCACTGATCCAACTGCTCCTTCTTCCACTTCCAACCGTTCCAATTTCGCAATCTCCACCTTCACCCCGTACTTCTCCACGGCTCTACCAATGAGCGTGCGAGTGAAAAGCTGCGGGTGCACCTGCGCCGTCGTTTCGGGGGTTCCAATGGTTTTAGGACTTCGTGCTGGCCCGTTGATCCAAGAGGGCAAGCTTGAAGAAGTAGAAGCCTCGGATTCCTTTATGGTCAGGCTCAGTGCGGTGAGGGCTCTGTAACCGTACGATTGGGGTCCGTCTAGTTCTTCCGAGAGTGAACGGTGGAGATTGAAGCTCACGCGTGCTAGCTCTTCCAACGGTCCTCCGTCGCACCAATCGTAGGCGAGGAATCCGCCCGCTTTTCCAGAAGCGGCGCACGCCACGTCGGACATCTCGATGAGCGTGACGGCAGCTCCCTTCGCCCCCAGAAAGTAAGCCGTGCAAACTCCTATGACTCCGCCGCCGCAGACAACTACCCGCTTCGGCTGATCCATGGGCGATGATGACTTAATCGACTTTGCTCTCGAAATGGGAACTCTGTTTCGCGGATATACAATTGTTGGTGGCAGCGGAAACCCCACCACTACATTCATGCTCATCCAATTTTTATTGTTCTATTTTTTAATTAAACACGTGTCAGTCTCTTACCATGTTCCGGTTCTGGCGTAACCAAAACATCTACTGTTTAATGAACTTTTTGGGCCTCCCAATAAAAGAAGTTCGTATCCATTTGAGCGTTCGGCCTAACCGGGCCTGTAGTTCTAAAAAATAATAGTAATGTGCTATCCAATACTTGACAAAAAATAAAACCATACGAAATACATTACCTATCTATCTTGATCAAAAGTGAGGTTTTAATTAAGCGAATGTTTTAACTGTTTTATGGATCTGCTTTTTGAAACGGAAAGAAACATTAAATAAGAAAATAAATGAAAAATATATATAATGAAAATGAAATTTCTTTAATTTTAAAAAATAAAATAAAAATACGGCTAAAAATAGTTTTTCTAGACTATTTTATTAATTACGGAATTATATAATTGATAATGTTATATTTGGACTTTCGTTCAAATTTTTGCCATCTAATCTTAGCGGGATAAAATAGATCTCATTCATATTTTTTTATTTTTGTTTCAAATTTCCTTATCTTTAAATCACTAATTTTTTTTTCACTTCTGTACTCCTTTCTTGTATTCTTTAAAGAGTGTTTGCTTTCTAAAATAATTTTACACTACTATATAGTTATTTTATAACCTAAAATAAATTATATTTTTGAAATTTGTTTTCAAAACAATAATTTAAAAACAAAACAAAAATAATAGATATTTTTCCATTTTCTTTATGTTTTTTTAAATACGTGTCAGGAATACATTCTTACAAAGCAAAAATATGTTAGGATTTTCAGAGTAAAAAGACAAACACTTAACAAAAAAATATAAACTATATATGAAGATAATAAACAATAACTCAAACTTACCATGATTCATATTCTTTTAATAAATAAATGATATAATGAACATACCTTCTAAGTGTAAATGATATTTTTTTTTATACAGTTTCAGTAAATAATGTCTCTTCTTTTCTAGCATGAGTAACAGAAACACATGGACTTATACAGCCGCCTTTTTAAATCATTACATAGAGAAGAAAAATAAGAAGAAAATCATAAATTTTATTGAGAATATGAGTTTTTCTTATATTTTACTTATGTATTTTCCATATACAATAAAAATAAAAGAAAAATTCTACTGTAATATATATAAACACGTATTTAAAATTTGAAGATCCCATCAATCCCAGACCAAATATCTTATGATATTACTCTCATGTGTAAAGCTGGTCTCATGTTAGACAAGGCATGATAAATGCATGATGCACAAGATTTCTACAATGTTATTGATGTCAAATGATATGGTTGGAGACCAATTCCAAGATGACAACCTCAGACGGTAGGCATGTATACATGCTCAATAGTTTGTGAATGTTTAGTCATTGGTAATGGAAAAAAAGTAAAATGCTTAAATTTAAATAGTTTCGGTATTTTAGTCGTATAAAATTATTGTTATTATTTATGGTTATTGTTGTTTCATGATCTAATGTGATACCAACCTATTAACCTATTATGAGTCAAGTGAGGGTATTGAAATCCAATTGAGTAGATGACGATGAATATGAAGAATTGTCATCTAAAGAAAAAATTATAATGCCCAGGCCAGTGTACTGAGAAAGGATTATATTATATGGCTTATTTGAATGCACGCATAAGTTTTAGGTTTTAGTGTGTGTTTGATTTGTTCGAAACACCTTTTCCAATGCCGTTGAATGGAAAAGTACATGTGATGAAGAGTTGAGTTCAACTGGGTTTAAGAATTTGTGACTGCAATCCAAACTGTTTTGTATTCTAAGAAGAAAAGAAGATAAAGTGATTATTGGTTAGTATTAATGAGTTTAGAAGAGTAAATATCAAATGTATAACTGTGTAATTTGAAGTGTTCATTCCTTTTTCATGATATATATATATATATATATATATATATATATATATATATATATATATATATATATATATATATATATATATATATATATATTAATCATCTCCTTTATTTTATTTTATTTTTCTCTCTAAAATTTTATAATAGCATTTTGTTAACTATTAATAATATTAAATTTATTATTATAATTTTTACACCACAATAAATTTCATAATTAGCTAGAAAATTTTGTTACAAAATTTATTTTTCAATAATTTGTAGCTAATTAGTTATGGAATAGTGAAGAAATAAAGTTGTAGCTAATATATAGTAATAGCTAGAAGATAATATTTTTGTAGTTATTCCCTCACTAAGTAGAAAAATAATTTAACTAAATTTTTTTTTATCACTAGACCTAGCTATAAATATTAACTATGTTATTTTTTGAAGCTATTTTTTTAGCTAAATTATATAACAAATAATTATAGTTAAATTGTAGTAAATTTATAGCAAAAAATTATTTAAAAATTATTTTTACCAAATTTACTATAATATATTAATTATATATATATAAATTATTTGAAAATAATTATAATTTTTTTTGAAAAAATATCTAAAAAAATTGATAAATATTTAAAATTATTTTCTGCAATTTTTTATAAATTTAAATTGGTAGGAAGTATTTAATAATTTAAATTAATAGAAAATTTTATAAATAATTTTTTTTAGAAATTAATCTTTATAAAAAATATTAGTATATTAAAATATTTTTTTAATTAAATATTATTTTAAATATAAACATCTTTAATATAATTATAAAAAAAAATTAAAATTTAAAATTTTTTAATAAAAATATTAAATTAATTTCTTTTTTCCAAATTTTCCATCCCGCTCCAACTACGTCTCCTTCTTTCATTTTCAACTACGACCTAAATTGTATCTCCATCTTTCATTTTCAACTAAGATCTAAAGGGCATTTGTTTTCGCTACCACTGTCGCCGCTCCCATTGTCGTCGTTCCCGCTACCTGTTGTCGCGCCATTACCGCTTCCCTACTGTGCCGCTGCCAATACAGGAATCAATTGGTTGAATCTCTTCAGAACAGGATACAAAATGATGTTTGTGTCTATAATTCTCTTTCTAATTAGGTCATTTATCTCTGTTAATGATGCAGAAATATGACATTTATTTTCTGATATTTGTGTATATTGTATCCCTATGCAAACTGGGTTAGTTGTTATATGTATGAGTGCATGTTATAATATGAGTATATGTTTGGAACCTCTGCATTATGTGGGTGCAAGCCTGGATAATGGGAAGGGACAACCGAGAATTGGGCACTTGGATATTCCTACTTGGATACATGAGAAAAGGGGTTGGAGGTGGGGGTGGGGGGAGAGAGCTTTGTAATGACTTTTTAAGACAGTGGGAGATGGGTTAGGAACAGGTGGAGACTGTTATAGAACATAAAAATTAATCTCAGTATTTTCTATAATTTGAGTGAGGTTTCTATCATTTAACCATGTCATTAAACATATCTTTTTAGCCTGAATTTGGTTCGTTGTGGATTTATATCCATGGAATTGTTAGTTGATACTATATTTCTTTAGTTGTTTCCTTTTAAAACTGAAGCCTATGCAAAACTCATCAATTTTGGGTTTATATTATGATTGCTAGGATTCCAGTTTTAACCGAATTTTGACACTGAATTTACTGGCAACAATTTGGTTGTATGATTCTTGGATTGTTCCTTGATAGTTATGTCAAGTAATCATATTTGGTTTTCTATTCTCCTTCAAGATTTACATATAAGTCATCGACTTGTTTGGTTCTGACCTTGACAACGTGGTTGGTGCTACAGTTAGGCATACAACTGAATAATAAATAATAATAAAAAAAACCCAAGACATAAACAATGAAATATCATTTAATGTGATATAAGGGAGAACTCAATCACACACAAACTCTCAAAATTTCCAATTTAGTTGTGATTGATGCATTGTCCTCTTCCCCTTTTTTATTTATTAATGTTTAAAAATTAAAATGATTGAAGGTGTGGTCTTGGTAAAGGATGAACATAGATTGCTTAACTGTTTGACATAAACTTGAAACACTATGGTTGAGGAACAGCAAAATCATGTCAGATCAATGAATCTTATTTAATTTTCTCTAGTTCACAACTTGTTTTATGAAAACAACTGTGGTAATTGATTATGTGGGTATGGTTATTGGATGACTCTTCTTTTATCACAAAATTTACTTGTACAATGTATCATTTATACATTATCATTGATCAATATTGATTATTGGTATTCATACTTTATACATTTAATACATTGATCATATAATTGTTAATCAATATTGATTATTAGTTATAAATTGAATATTAGGTTTGATGTTGGTATATTGATGTGTGAATCTTGAATTGTAAATTATTTCATAGGAAGAAGAGCACAAACGTCTTATTTCTTATGGTGAATTATATAACAAAGTTCATAAAAAGAAAGATGGTGAATATGTGTCTAACAAAGCAAAAAAATTTATTGTAAGTGTGTATATTTTATAAATATTAAATTTTGTTTATTTATAATATTGCTAAAATATTGATTTGATGTAGGAATCATATGAAAATGATATGACTCGAAAAATATGGGGAAGATACATCAAATCATCCTATAGTTGATTCCGATATTTGGATAAAGACTACTCGGTGAAAATAAAAAAGGTAGAATTTATGGTATAGGTCGGAGTTTGGATCTTGGTATTTCACATGTTTCATCTTCATCAGTTGAAGGTCCCTCTTCCCAAAATCTTACCACACCTCTCATCGAAGAAATCACTACCTTAGCTACACGGATATCTAGTTTGCAAGAGCGAGATGAAAACACGATTGCGAGCACAAGCCGATATGCAAGTATTGATGCAATCACAAATGAAGACACAAGCGTAAATGCAAACACTCATGCAACAACAAATGCAAGAAGAAATACGAGTCTTTCAAAAAAGATTTATTATCTGTCTTAAAGAAACAATGATGAAAACGTACTTTAAACTTTGTTTCTATTTTTAATTGTGTTATACGTGAACTTTTTAGTTGAAATATTATTTTTGTTATGTTTT